AGTCACCGAATACTTTTGCAATGAATAGATTCCAGAGTCCTCTCAATTAATCCAAGACATTGGTGAAGGTTTCATACCTCTACGGTTTACGGTTTCAAAGGAGTAGCGATAACAAGCATTTCTTGCGAAAGGGGCAATAACTTCAAAAGCCGTCATAGTTCATACGCGTTGGGTCAAATTTGTTCCTAACTTTTAATGACCTTTACGATGAACAAAAAGTCTTTTCGATAAATGTCGAAACAAAAAATCAGCGGAAGAAGAATAATAATAATAATAATAATAAACAGAAGAAAATCAATAGGTCTTTCCACAGAAAGGTGGAAAGACCTAATAATAAAAATAGTGGAAAAGAAACCTAAGAATAACAAGAAGGTCTTCCGCTGAAGACGGAAGACCTTAATAATAATAAGAAACAGAGTAAAAACAATATGTTCCCCAACTTCGTTTGGGGAACATAATAATAATAAGAAACAGACTAAAAACAATATGTTCCCCAACTTCGTTTGGGGAACATAATAATGAAATACATGTCACAAGATCATTATTTACTATTTACTATGGTTTAATTTGCGCATGCGTCATTTCAATCATTCATTCATGGTTTGTAAGTTCATGACCTCTGATGTCATACGGTGAGTATGGGATGCGTACGTATGGGTGTGTTTGACTGGTTTTTCCAGTCACTGCGCATGGCTGGCGCGAATTTTATTAACCCTTGCATGAAATCATGTTTTTATCACTTCTTATGAAAACCCTCTCAGAGACAGACGTTACTGCTGACTTACATCAATGTAACATATCCTAATTAAATAGGAATGTATAAATTCTGTCTACATGGTAAGTTATTTTAATTAAACTATTTTATAATCAGTAAATTAAATTCTGAATTAAAGAATGATATAAATCTCAGTTAAAATATTTAATGTGTGAATGAACGGGACGTAAGGTATTCATAGCGAGGCGGCGCGAAGCGCCGCTCGCGTAGCGAGCTCAATAGACTAACGTGTACGAACGGAGGAAATTCGGGTTGAAATCTGCACATTGTTCCAAGAAATTTTTATCTGACCGCGTGAAAAAATTCTAAAATCCCAGTAATCCTTTGCGGTGCATAGCAACCAGAAGGCTAAAACACAGCAACAACTTACTTGAAAAAAAATTACAAACAACGTTTTTATGCAATATCCTTGCCACAAAACTATCGTTTGCGTTTTAAGTCTACAAGACTTTTTATTTGACGTCATACTTTCGTCACTTAAACGGCTCGGGTATTTCCGATTTTGTCGGAAACTTCCGAAAAGTTCGGAATCTCGATCCCGATTCCTTTGGAAATAAAATAAAGCTGTGTAAAGGTTTGGATAGCAGGGGCGGATCCAGCAATTTTTGAAAGGGGGGGTTCCAAGATTGTGTCCCTCTAACCCCCCCCCCCCCCCCACCTACACACTCTCAAGCAAAGATTCACAAACTAAAACTAAAAAAAATTAACACATTTCAAAAACTACTGAAGCCTTATAGTTGAATGGATTTGCAGCATTTCCGAAGAGTACAATGAATTTTCTTTAAGAAATTGAAAATCCTTTTTGAGGGGGTATAAAACAAAGAATTAAATGTTTAAATAGTTCCATCAAAAGATTTAATTTAAAAAAAGGTCCATACTTGTATATAGCCAACACAGATCGCTGGATTCTAATATCAAATTTAACCTCGCATGTTACATATCATATTATATAAGATATATAAAAATAAGTGAATATTTTCTACCATTCACTCATAAGAAGTTATAGTGAAGGTGAATGGAAAAAACTAACTGTGTGAGAATCTATCTATTAAATGCATATTTAAGTTAGACATACACATATTTATTCTCGGAAAACGTTTTATCCCCTTCTCTCTCTCTCTCTCAACTTGGCAAAAAATAAAGGGGGGGGTTCCAACCCCCGGAACCCCCCCTCTGGATCCGCCAATGGATAGTCAATAACTGCGCTCGCCCCAACGGTCGCACCGTAGAACATATTATTTATTGTAGACCACCATTGATGATATATACCATACCACATGCCTTATGAAGTATCAATATTAAAATATACTTATTGACTAGTGAGCTGTTTGTGTTTTGGTCTGGAGATAAACGTATCCATGTATTGTGACTTTAATTAGAGAAGTTACACCCTATGACAATGGCGCCCAACGATTGGGTCTCCGGCGCAAACGTTCCTAATAAATAATTCTTCGAGGGATGATCCTTGGTGGTTATTGTGAAAGAAGAGTTTTCTGTGTTTTATAATTCCATTGATTCATTTGCTTATTGTGTGATTCCATTCACGGGCCTGAGTGTGCACTACTATACTTGTAAAACCAATTTACAACGATTCAACGAAATTACCGTTAGCTAGAGCGGAGAAAACCAGTTTCCCCGGGAACATTTTCTTGACTATTATACTTCCGGATGTGTGACGTCATAATCAAGATGGATGCGCCCATGAATCCTGGACATTTTTGACTTGTGCACAACTGTGAGATCTCAAACGCGGTTCGCGTACATTTATGTGATAAACAATCCGTGTGTATTTAGAAACTGTTTCATATTGTCATTTTGATTTGTTGTATTTTGTTGTCAATTCCATTTTGTTTTCATTTGTCATGTTTCATGTACGAAAGTGTGTTGCAGTTGAATGAGTACAGGCACAGGAGTTCGAAATTTTATCAATAAAGTCAATAGAAACCACTCGATTGACCAAGCCATGAGCTATGCGTTCGCTATGCTTACGCATAGCTCATGGCTTGGTCAATCGAGTGGTTTCTATTGACTTTATTGATAAAATTTCGAACTCCTGTGGTACAGGTAAAATCGCGTAAACTTTATTTTCTAAAAGTATTTCAAAAAAAAAAAAATTATGTAAACACATTGACCTGAAGACATTTGAAATTAACTGTGTGTTATCTAACAATCCCTCACTGCATGTAGTTATTCAGTTTGACTAACACTTAACAGCTACAGCGCCGCAGAGAAAATTCGGAAGAGAGTAAGTAAGTCAGTGTTTTGTAAATATTGTGAATTTGAGGTCAGTTTCATTCTCATTTCCATATCATATCATTTCATATTTAGCGCATAGCGGTTTTACAATTTTAAGGCAATTTACTTCAAGGAGATATTATTCAGTCTAAATATAGCATAATATAGTACATAACAGAGTAGACTAGTTAGTAGTACTATAGTATATGGACAGTACTTGCATTCTGAATTGCTAAGTTTATAACAGTTTTGCTCATAGTATAAGTAGTCAGTGTGTCAAGAGTTGATACCATGGTTTAGCAGAATTTTTGACTGATTGATATTGACTGTTTATTTTGAAAGAAATTCAGGTGTTTGGATACCACAGATATCAAAATCCCATTCCGCACTTCGAATATGGCTCGACTGTGTTGAACGTTCGGAAATTTATGCGAAATCAAAGAACGGTTTTCCAGGAAAAACACGGTGAGTAGTTCATGTTTTGTTGTTTTAAAAAATCTTTTAGTGTACATACAGGGTCCGACACTCGTCAAAATTTGGTCTCACCATTCGGGCAACCTTGGTATGATCACAGGTTGTCCAAATGAATTTGAGGTCGTCCAAATAAAATATCAATTGAAACAAAACTTAATTGCAATTGTTTATAATTTGTTAAGATAATTAATAGAAGTTGTGTTTTTGCATTAAAAAATGTAAACCAGACATTTTTGGAATTTAAAGGTGTCTTCTACTGTTTTATCAAACAAAAATATAAGCAGAATCAGACATGCAGAATGCTAAAGTTTGAAGCTTAAAACATTCATTTTCACTTGCCATGAAGGCCTAAATATATAGGGTCAAATAACCCTGGACTGAATTAATCAGGTGTTACATTACAGTGGACACCTAAATTGGCAGTGTAGCGGCAGAAAACGGTCATTATGATCAGAAAGTTGTAGGGGAAATGCAAGATGTTACAATGATGATTATAACTATTTATATTAATAAGGTGATTTGACTAAGTTAGCATCTTTTATATCTTAAATAATACTTTATTAAAGACTTTTAGTAAAAATTGCATCAGCTGATTGATCGAACGAAGATTTGGCAGGAGAAAAAATCTTCGCGGCTGCAATTTAAACATGTTGAATGGGTTGGTTTTGTTACAGGAAAATATGTTTTCAAGGTCTTATGAAGTTTAGTTTAAAATATTAAGCATCATTATGAAATATTCCCAACTTGTCCCAGGTCGACATTTGGGCGAGACAGACCGAAAATCAGGTCGTCCGAAGTCATTTTAGGGTGGAAATTGCGAGGTGACGAGCGCGAATGTCGAACCCTGTACATATACCAGAATTTCTAATTCTGAGTGTGGTTATTTTCACCATGGCTACCGGTGAGGGTAAAACACCAGAAAACCATTTAGATAAGGAAGAAGAGAATGCTGATGACATTCTTGAACACATTGAAAAGGTGAATCAAAATCCTAATTATAGGGTAGTGACAATGGAAGAGTACAATTTACTTAAATCTAGTACTCCTAAAGCAGGTCCTGATAAAGTTACGGGAAACAAATTTACCTTTAGTACCCCAACGGGTCAGTTTGGGCCTAGAATGAAAGCTTTTTATGATGCTGTGCATAAGACTAAGCCTAAGACTGAATTTTTAAGCCCACTCCCTGAAACTCCAAATCCAGGTAATCCCAATGTTTCACTTATTACCAGTCAATTGAGTGTTCCTAAATTACCTATCTTCAGTGGGACAGATGAACCCCAGAAAGGTGAAGTAAAATATGAGGTCTGGAGTTTTGAGGTAAAGTGTTTAAGAAAGAGTGGACAATATTCAGAACATGTGTCGTTAGAAGCAGTTAGAAGGTCTTTAAAAGGTTTAGCTCGTTCAATGCTTGTTCCTTTAGGTGAGAATGCATGTTTGTTAGACATAATGCACAAGTTAGATGGTTTCTTTGGTAATGTTGCAACCAATGAAAATTGCAATCCTTTTACAGTGATTTTCAAAAAGAGAATGAGTCAATTGTAATGTATGCTTCTCGTATTGAAGAAACCATTTGCAAAGCTATACAGTTTGGGTTCATAGACGAAATAGCTAAAGATGCCATGTTAAGAAACAAATTCTGGACAGGTTTAGCTAGTCAGTCTTTGAAAAATTCAACCAGACATTTGTATGACTCTATTAAAGATTTTCAATATCTTCTTAGGGAAATCCGAAAAGTGCAGCAGGAGGAAGCACATACAAGTACTCGGCAACCGAAATCCAAGTCAGCAGCAGTTCATGCAGAGAGAGCAGAAGTGACAGAGAGTCAAGAAGACATGAAGAAGGAACTTAGAGTCTTGATTTCAAAGATGGAAAGGTTAGAACGTAGCATTAATTCTCAGTCATCCAGTTATCAAGATATGTCTTGGAGATTGAGTAACTTAGAGACTCAACAAAATAGAAACACTTCTTCTAACAGTCCACTTAGTCAATACAAAGAAAACAGAGGTTTTAGTAGGGGTAGAGGCTTTAGTAGAGGTTATGGTAGAAATTTTAGAGGCAATTTTAGAGGTCAGTCTTACCAAAAGCCTCAAGGTCAAGGCGAGAATAGTAAGAGAAGGGGGAGAATGACCCAAAAGGGTAACCTCTTCCGTTATAGGGCAAACTGAGGAGGTCAAAGGTCATAGCCCTGAAACTGAAAAATTGATCACTAGAATGGTTGGACATGTTAACCAATGTAAGGTAAAGTTATGTGACAGAGAAACAGATGCATTGGTAGACACGGGTTCAATGATATCTTGTATGTCAAAACAATTTTATGATTCTCTAGAACCAAAGCCCGAGCTTAGGAAATTGGAAGATTTTCAGTTAGATGTTTATGGTGCAGGTGGGCACTCACTTCCTTTTTCTGGGTATATTGAGGGTGAGTTAGAAATTCCATTCTTGAGTCAGAAGACAATTTTTGCCCCTATATTGGTGAGTCAATCATCAGATAGAAAGGGTGGTTCTGAGTTTCCTTTAATCATTGGCACCAATGTTATCAGAAATTGTAAAGAGATTTATGGTCAGATGGAAAATGTTTCAGAAATACCTGAAGTTTGGAACTTAGCATTCAAAGGTATGTGTGACACTGCTTTGAAGGTAAAAACAACAAATCATTTTCCAATTAGCTTAGGTCCAAAAGAGGTCAAGATGATAACAGGATTAGTCAGAAAATCTTATGACTTAGAAACTGCAATGACTGAACAGTCAGATACATCTCAACCAGGGAGCTTAGTTATATGTCCCAGAGTGGTTAACCTTAAATCTAAGGTAGGTAGCACATCTAGAGTACCAGTAAGAGTTTGTAATTTGTCAGCACAGACTATTAAGATCTTACCAAAGTCTGTTATTTGTTCAGTTAGCCCTGTCAAGGTAGTCGATTCATGGAAACCTGAGTCCGAGATTGATTCTTCAGAAATCAAGGGAGGTAACTCAGATATTTTCATTGAATCATTAGGTGCCAAGATAAACAAACAAAATCTTACAGGTGAGGAAATGACAAGGACAGCAGAGTTGTTGAATAAGTGGAAACATATTTTCTCAACATCATTTACAGATATAGGTAAAACAGATTTGGTTAAGCATGAGATCAAGCTTACTGACAATATTCCTTTCAAGGAACCCTACAGAAGAATTTCACCTGGGATGTACCAAGAGGTAAGACAACATTTGAGGGAAATGCTTGAGGCAGGTGCTATACGCAAATCACAAAGCCCTTACTCTTCAAATGTAGTGTTAGTTAAGAAATCTGATGGGTCATTAAGATTCTGAATTGATCTTAGAAAACTTAACAACAAAACCATAAAAGATGCTTATACCTTGCCTAGAGTCGATGAGACTATTGATACTTTGATTGGAAGTAAATACTTTACCAAACTCGATTTAAGATCAGGATACTGGCAAGTTGAGATTAAGGAAGAGGATAAGCATAAAACAGCTTTTTCGTTGGGACCTTTAGGGTTTTATGAATGCAATCGGATGGCATTTGGCCTAACCAATGCCCCGGCCACTTTCCAACGTTTAATGGAAACCTGTATGGGTGATTCACATTTGAGGGAATGTCTCATATTTTTAGATGACATTTTAGTGTTTTCTCAGTCTTTTGATGAACATCTTAAAAGATTAGAGGGAGTTTTTGAGAAACTTGACAAACATCACTTAAAGTTAAAACCATCCAAGTGTGAATTCTTCATGAGTGAAGTAAAGTACTTAGGTCACATTGTTTCGGAGGACGGTATCAAAACCGACCCAGATAAGATTGAAGCTCTTAAGTCATGGCCAGTACCAAAGAATATTAAAGAATTACGCTCATTTTTAGGTTTTACCGGGTATTACCGGCGCTTTATCAGAGACTATGCCAGAGTCGTTCAACCGCTGAATGAGTTACTGGTAGGACACCCAACAGCAAAGGGAAAGAACCAAGGAAACAGAAAGAAAGTACCATGGTTATGGGGTAAGGAACAACAATTTGCTTTCGAGACACTTATCAGTAAGTTGACCAATCCCCTATTCTCGGCTATGCAGATTTTTCTAAACCATTCATCTTGAATATTGATGCCTCCACTGAGGACTTAGGAGCTGTTCTCTATCAGAACCAGAATGGTTTAGAACGTGTAATTGCATATGGCAGTCGTGGTTTAAGAAAAAGTGAAAAGTTGTATCCAGCACATAAACTTGAGTTTTTGTGTTTAAAGTGGGCAGTAGTCGACAAGTTTAAAGACTATTTATACAACAATTCTTTTGAAGTTAGAACGGATAATAATCCATTGACTTATGTCACAACTTCAGCGAAACTCGATGCCACGGGTCATCGTTGGCTTGCAGCTTTGAGCAATTACAATTTCAAGATATATTACAGATCTGGGAAATTAAATCAAGATGCAGATGGGTTATCCAGGCGTCCACATCATGTCCAGATATTTCCTGAAGCTGTCAAAGCAGTCTGTCAAGCAGCACTCATAGACCGGGAACAACTTCCACTACCGGAGAGTTTGCTCATTACAGACACTGGTCAGTTAAATCCGGATGTGACAGTGACAGAATCACAGGAACTGAGTACCATAAACTGGAGAGAGAAGCAAGAGGAAGATCCAGTCATAAGTAAGGTGAAGTACCTGATTACAACTGGGGAAAGATTTGATACTGGGAATATTGATTTAGAGACAGTTGAGGTTAAGAAGTATCTCAGAGAGGAAAAGTTTTGAGATAAGGAAAGGTGTCTTATTTAGAAATACCCTTATTGACGGAATGGAGGTTAGGCAACTTGTATTACCAAGAAGTATGGTAGGAGTAGTGTTTAAAGGTTTACATGAGGATTTAGGACATCAGGGGAGAGAAAAGACCAGTTGGCTTGTCAGAAGGCGTTTTTATTGGCCAAGAATGGATATGGATATCAGAGAGAGAGTTGAGCATTGTGGACGATGTATCCGAAGTAAGACCAGAGAACAACCTAGATCAGAGCTCATCACCATCAAAACATCACAGCCAATGGAACTGGTATGTATTGATTTTCTTTCTTTAGAGAAATTAAAGAGAAACATTGAAGATATACTCGTAATAACCGATCATTTTTCGAAGTATGCAGTGGCGGTACCAACAAGGAACCAAAAAGCGTCCACAACAGCAAAAGCCCTGTATGAGAATTTCTTCAGTTACTATGGTTTCCCACAGCGAATACACAGTGACCAAGGCAGGAACTTTGAATGTAGGCTTGTTAGAGAATTATGTAACATTGCAGGAGTGAGTAAGAGCAGGACGACCCCTTACCATCCTATGGGGAATGGGAATGTGGAGCGTTTTAATCAGACTCTACTAAAGATGCTTGGAACTCTTGAGGAGTATCAGAAGGAAGACTGGAAGGCATTCATCAAACCATTAGTGCAGGCATATAACACCACAAAGTATGAGACCACTGGATACTCACCGCACTATTTGATGTTTGGCTGCCACCCCAGACTTGCTATAGATGCATACCTAGGAATAGACGAGTTATCTGAGAAGCCCAAGAGTAGGGAGGATTATGTTGACAAGTTAAAGAAGCGGTTAGATTTTGCATACAAAGTTGTGAGGACGAACATGAACAAGAACACAGAAAGATACAAGCAACAATATGACAACAAAGTTAGGAATTCCAAGTTAGAGATAGGAGACAAAGTATTGGTTAGAGTATTAGTGAAAGCAGGAAAAAAATTATCAGACAAATGGGAAAAAGAACCTTACAAGATTATAGAAATTCCAAATGAAGACATTCCAGTGTACAAAGTTCAAAAAGATTCAGGTAAAGGAAAGATCAAAACCTTACACAGAAATTTATTATTACCATTTATGTATATCTCAGATAACAATGAAGGACTACCACAGAAACAAGAAAAGCAGACTAGGAGGCAGTGTACGAGACCTACTGATTCAGATGATAGCTCATCATCCAGTGATGAGGAGGTATACAGAGTAAGTACACGTAGTAGAGATCGGACTAGGCCTGATACTTCAAGTATCCACCATGTGAATGATTGTAATAAATCTTTCGGTACCGAGGGCAGAGTTAGTTCCGACAACTTAATTCGCGGTTCTCATAATTCAACACAGTTCGGACCAAATTCGACTGTTAAGACAGACACTGAGTCTCCCATTCTGTCTGTACCACACATAGATTTACCACCTTCATCCCCATCTTTGTTACAAAATGGTGATGTTAGGAATGTAAGTCCCATAGTTTCGCCGCGCAGATCTCTGAGGAGATCCACTCGAGTTAAGAATGCTCCTGACAGGTACAGTAGTTGGTATGTGGGAGATCACCAAGTTTGGTATGTGTAAGTGTTAGTGACACAGGAAGAATGTCACAGATAGAGTTAAGTTATGATGACTTTAACAGTAGATGCCAAGAGGTATATTAAGGAACTTAGTGTACACATGTATATAGTTTTATGACTTTAAATGGTTACAATATAGGTAACAGAAGAGTTTTATGATTTGATGGTTATGATACATAACAAGGTACCTGTAGTATTATGACTAAGGATTACAATGCTAATTAGATTGTTTGGTTTAATATTTTTCATATCATAGTTATTTGCATATTATTTTTTGTTTTAGTTAAAATGTCAGGAGACATTTTCCTCTTACACAGGGAGAATGTCACAAGATCATTATTTACTATTTACTATGGTTTAATTTGCGCATGCGTCATTTCATTCATTCATTCATGGTTTGTAAGTTCATGACCTCTGATGTCATACGGTGAGTATGGGATGCGTATGGGTGTGTTTGACTGGTTTTTCCAGTCACTGCGCATGGCTGGCGCGAATTTTATTAACCCTTGCATGAAATCATATTTTTATCACTTCTTATGAAAACCCTCTCAGAGACAGACGTTACTGCTGACTTACATCAATGTAACCTATCCTAATTAAATAGGAATGTATAAATTCTGTCTACATGGTAAGTCATTTTTAATTAAACTATTTTATAATCAGTAAATTAAATTCTGAATTAAATAATGATATAAATCTCAGTTAAAATATTTAATGTGTTAATGAACTGGACGTAAGGTATTCATATTTATTGTAGACCACCATTGATGATATATACCATACCACATGTCTTATGAAGTATAAATATTAAAATATACTTATTGACTAGTGAGCTGTTTGTGTTTTGGTCTGGAGATATACGAATTCACGTATTGTGACTTTAATTAGAGAAGTTACACCCTATGACATACATGTATACACGATGTCTCTTGATTAAAATTTACCTATTTATTTGGTTTTGATCATCATTTTATGTACATGTGGTTTCTTTGAAATAATTAATCAATTAACTATTAAATATTAATTGTTAGGCCATTATTTACTTGTACACACTGAGTTGTTGGTGAATTTTCCTGTTATCTCTCAATCATTAAAAAGAGCACACCTCGGGTGTGACCGGTCCGCAGGGGATGCTGACACTCCTCCACAGCACCTGATCACATCTCCAATCTTTTAGAGGTCCCTGTCTGCTCATCTTCTGATTTGTGCTGTTTTATGGGCTTTTGATCTTAAATGCTGTTTGTTATCGCCACATATTTTATTTAAGCAAGTCTACTCCTCTTCAAGTACAACTGTGGGACGTAAAGACCTTTCCTAAAGATCCCTCGCTGTTCAATGGCTTTGAGTGCCGAGTATAGGAGAAAAAAATGCAGCTCTCCTTCGAATATGAATGTTAGTGAAAAATTCTCGAGAGAGACGTTAAACAACAAATACATTGAAGGATATTGATACGAACAGTATTCAATATCAAAGTCCATATTACAAAAAATATTAGGAACAGAGCAAACACGGACCTCCTAAACATCCGAGGTGGGACTAAAGAGATATGTAATCAAAAATATAACTGAGATCAAAAGTGAGCTTGTCTTTGTTTTATGGCCCCCAGGCCTGGTCCCATGAAGGAGTAGCATCCCCGTGATGATCCCCTGCCGTAATTCCCCCAACTGCATACTCAGTATTTCAGGCATATTATAGTGTTTGTGATTATTTTAGGACACCACATGTGTCGGAAAATACTTCTGAATCTACCTTTGGGTTCCTTAAGAATTTTGTCATTGAAGGAATAAGATGCTGTGATTTATATTTCCAAAGATGATAAAGGATCACTTCATTATAAATAGGGATCTGACCTATAGGACCGGGCTTGGTTTTTTTCTCTACAAAAACCTTGTCGATTTCCGTTCCGATTAATGACATAAGGCTTAATACATATAATAATTTGTTTTCCCTAAATCTTTATTTCAGTGAGTAGAGGTAGGAGGAACTCTTCCATTGATTTTCTGAGTTTGTTATCTCCAAATAATATAGCTGATACTTTTCTTAACTTCTCATTGTGCATATAATGACAATGTCTACTGCCTGTCAAATTATATTCTTTATCATGTCTAGGATATAATAAAACATGCCATTAATATGTGCAAATTACCGGGGATATATAGGCCTAACTGAAATCCAAGGGAGTACAATTACTGATATATGTGGCCAAAATCAATGTGATTAAATTCTAAGGAATATATACGATTGAAATTCATCGCAGCTCAATGCTGCCAAGAATACCCGTATTGAGTAACACAGAGTGAGTTATTCTCGTCCTCGGAGAAAGTGTGCTTATATTGAGGTTTGTTCCGCCTGACTGACAACTGTACATGTACATTGGATTGTTTCGATTTGAACTCTCTTAAGAGTTTCTAATATCAAGAATAGGCATGCATAAAGGATAGATAATTGAAAAAAAAATAAAATAGTCTTTTAAAAGGCGAAAATTTAAAACTTTAATGTGTGGTACCAGGTGGATTCGAACCCCCGACTTTAAAAAGATGGTGTCCATAGTGTTAAAAGCCAGCGCATTTATCAACTGAGCTAGTCTGACTATAAGTTTTAATGGTATAAATTTGAAGCAGATTATCAAAATCAGATTTCCTTATTATGTTCCCCAAACGGAGTTTGGGAACATATTGTTTTTACTCTGTTTCTTATTATGTTCCCCAAACGAAGTTGGGGAACATATTGTTTTTACTCTGTTTTTATGTTCCCCAAACGGAGTTTGGGAACATATTGTTTTTACTCTGTTTCTTATTAAGGTCTTCCGACTTCCTTCGGAAGACCTTACTGTTTTTCTTATGTTTCCTATTATTATTATTTTTCCCTTTTCATAGTACACGTGATTTCTCCGAAACAACTGAACCGATTTCAAAGATTTTTTCAGGAATGATGCATTGTTGTAATATCTCCAGACCTTTTTTTCATTTTTTTGAAAATCACTTCCGGTCGCATTTTTTGTCCGAATTTCTTTTTATTAGTTGTCATTTTGTCCAAGCATCTTCTTGTAAACCACTCAAGATTGAATCATGATATTTTCAGGGATTATAAAACATCTTATTGAGTTATGCATGACGTCTTTTAATTTCACATCCGTCACTTCCGGTCGACACAGGAAGGGATGTTTAATTTTAAGATTTTTTGAAAAATTTAACGGGATTGATTAAAGGCAAATAGAACATATATTTTTATTCACAATCCTCAACAAAAAGCATCCATCAGAAGTACTTCCGGTAAAAACCGGAAGTAGTCGAAAATTCAAAGTTTTTCCTTTGAATCAAAATAAATCAAATAAAACGATTGAATTTGAGTTTTTCAATTTTTTCTGACTTGCTGACTGTGATGTCAGCCGGAAATAATGCCGGAATTGTCAAAAGTCGTCAAATGACGTCACTACGGTCAAAACGCGTAATTACTTTTGCACCGAGAATAGTTTGGCAAGAAATATACAACAAAAGTTGTGCGTAATTATGAGAGCTTTCATATAAGATTAAGGAAAAGGGGCTGGCCCCTATAAATAGGCCAGGGGTAAATAGATCATAAACGGTTTTTTTTTCTGAGAGCTAAAAATATTAATTTTTTAATGGTAACAGTTATACTATGAAAATTTTTATCTGAAATCATTTCGAATTGATGAAAAACCCTGTCATTTGGTATAAAGATAAACAAACTCCAAACTATATTTGTTTTTTATAAAACAAATATGTGGGAAACCTTACATGGACAAGTTGTCTAGCTACTGTAGCCAGCCAAGCCTGTACTGTGCCAATAACGCACAGTTTTAGCAGGGACCTATATACTAACATAGGTCCCTGGTTTTAGTAGATGCATCAGTAAGATATAGTGTTGATTCGGTGTTTCTCTGTTTTCTTTTTATGCAAGTAATTTAAAATGTGATGTATGTACACAACAAAAGCCAAGGTGAAATCAAAATGGGTTTTTTCTGCATTTGTATAGGTGTAAACAACGCGCGGCATTGTGGGAAACGGGAAGGTACTAAAGACTTGATATGCTAAAATCCTGATTTGACCTGATTAAAAATTGTCAGTAATATTCCAAACAAATGAATTCTTGTATAACATAATGCATCATAGTCAAAGGTCTTTAAAATAAGACATTTTAAGTACTCAATATTATCATTTAATTTAAAATAAAAACATCGGGTAATTTCAGGTCTTTAGTACATCCGGGTTTCAGTGTGTCCCATCGAAATCGGCAAATCGGACACTTGATCATGTTTACAAAGTGAAATTGAGGATTTTCTCACCATACAAGCCGTTTGTAAACATGCACGGACATTTTATCTGCAGCTCAAAGTACTTTATCAATCCTCTGGAGCATTATTCTAAGCAAAATTATCCGATTTATATATTCTTGTGTGAATTGTTTACGAGGAAATTCCGACTGTCACAGTAATAAAGAAGGATGAACACTCTTGACTCTGTTTCGGATTCCCCAGTGATAATTGTATCGAATGATTAAAGAGCTGACGGTTACATTTTAATTTATGATTGGCGTGGACCATGGGAATGAATTCGAAGGTAAGATTTTTGTTTACCTAAAATTTACATTATATAACTATGGCAGCTTAGAGCATTTATCAGCTGTCGATATTTTTAGAAATACACAGACACAGCGATATATTAACTGTTTTACAGTTCAGACGCTCTCAGTTAGCCTTTTAAAATCCCCACAGCTTTAAATTTTATTTAAATATGTGTGAGCATGTAATTTCAACAAGACTTGCTTTCAACATGTTCAAAACAAAATGTTTTTCAACTAATAATATGTTGACGGGTGTGATGTTAGGGTACGATAAGCATGGTAAGGGCAGATACTTATTCACTTTTAATTTAGATCAGGCTTGTCAAACCGCACTAAACATTTGGTACATCGATGCATGTTCACATGGACTGAGTTCAATTCAAATTATTTTAATTCGAATTTATTTACTGCGCATTAAATTACTTTGCATTAGCTCCTTGTGAACACTAACATGACTAAGGTAAGCTAATTCCAATTAAATTTTGAGGCATGTGAAATGGCAAAATTAAGTCAAATGCTACATGTTGGTGGTCAGCTTTAAGTACTTGTGCTATTTTTGAGTGAAAAACTAAGGAAAATATAGTGTTAATCACTAAAATGTGAAAACAGACACTGTGACATTATGTCAAATACATCTGTTTATGCCTAAGGTGACATGATTTGTAAATGATGTCATAAAAGCCTAACTGAAGCCTGCATGACTGTCAAAGTAAAATTTTTATTCGATTTGGTTACTTTGCATTATAATTAGCTGTCATGTGAACACAGTTTGATTCGCATTAGTTTGATTTGCATTTAATTTAGTTTACTTCGCAATAATTTACTGCGAATTAAACTCTCCGTCTGAACAGGGCACTAGACTCTAAAGTCACATGACGTCGTAGTGTAAGTTTGGCCTACAATACCACTTTAAAGCTTGAATGTAGCTCAAAGAAGCAAAGCACTGTGGGTCCAAAGTTACTGCAGAAAAAAAATTTAGTATAATTTATTGACAAAAAAATTGCACACAATATAATATTGCTCAGTTAATTAAATCAATATTTTATTATGTCATATGTATGTTTCTTAGTTAAATTGCAAAAGGAATTTGTAAAAAAAAAAATGTAATAGTAGAGTTTGCTTTTTTTTGTGATAAGGCTGCAGAAATGGTTTGTTTGTTAATTAGTCTATTGAAAATTTTTCAGTCATTTTATGATGCCACCGCTTGGGATAGTAAGCTGCAAATATAGACTTGTACTCAGCACTTATTGCCTTTGAGAAGTAAGGGATCCTTTTCGTGCCAACACCCACACCTACTGTGACACAGAATCTCGGTTTATACAGTCTCTTTGGAGTTACCTGTCTCTAGCATTTAGCAGTAAGTATCAGCTTCTTATTGATACTTTGATTGATAATGTTATCATGAGAATCTCACTCATTCACTCATTTAATATATACTGGTGAATAGCTTCAATATGGACCTTTACTTGGAACTCAGGGTCATTATCCTAACATCTACTGTGAGGTTTTTAGGGTCTAATTCACTACAAATGTTGGGTGCATGGTTAGGGAACATAACTGGGTACATGTTTTTGTCTTAGGTTTGATGCAGTGAATTAAAATCAAGCCCAGCTTCATGATTATACATAGCGATTGCCCTACCACTAGGCTACCATAACAGACAATGATGTACGTATTTGGGTTATATAGTAAAAAACGCTTAGGCAAACACTTATAATGAAAAGAAGCTTATCGAAAATTGAATTTTATTCCCAGTCTTTTTAAAATATATATGGAAAACTAAATGGTGTCCTGATAAGGCAATTTGTTAAAGTGTGTGTTAGGAACAATGTGCTAACACAGTGTTCTCAACACTGTTAGGCTAAGGCAACTTAGAACAACATGCAGTTGTGCTGATGCTCAACATGCTGCTATAATGCTAAGGCCATTCCAAGTTTTTTCTATGTTTAGCGTCTGTGTGCGCCTTGGTTTTTGACACCCCATGTTAGAAAAAACACACAACATCAAGAGTCCTGAAATTGATTAATTTAGGCAAAATTGTTGAATTTGTCAATTTCTCCAAATAATTCTGTACAGTAAGTTATATTTGGTGTATTGTAAGCATTTATTCCCTTGTTTTTGCTTAAGAATAGACATTTCTTCTATTAAAGTAGTTTAGTTAGATCAAATCATTGAAAATCATTTTAATCCTGTGTTTTATGTTTTGGCTTCTGTGTTGTTGTTTTTTTTGCGAATAGATTGGTAGGTTTTTGAAAGATGGGTGGACGCTAAACAGAGAAAAAACTTGGAATGGCCTAATACAACTTTACACAATCTATTTAATATATGTAAGCTTGACGGCGTAGTGTAAACAGCCTGCTGAAACTTTGTTACAAACGCACTAAGTACATTGTCACCGTGTTGTCATAAGCACACTAGCCCATTCTCATAAGCGTGATAGCACATTTTTACTTCACGCTAGCATGTAAGTGTCTTAAACAATTAGCATGCTGTCATAAACTTAGTAGCATGGTGTTTTAAATGAGCTAGAGCAGCATTGTTACTTTGCGCTAGCTCATTGTTTCTTATGCGTTGCTGTTTTGTCACTTCATTAGTGCATTGTTCCTAATGTGCTGTAACACCTTTATGAATGGCCTTATCCTGACACATAAAAAAATCATAACCAGATACCATCTTTCTGACTGATTAGTCGGTTAACAACTGTTAACCATTACCATTCCTAATAAATTTTGACATGAACAAGTTATGTACATACCCTTTATTTGAAATCATGAAAAACTAATATGTTATTTATTACATCCTCAAATGACTGCCTGTAAACCTAAATTTATAAATGATTATAGAGTAGTTTTACAAATAATACACATGCAGAAATGTGACAGTATACATTTATTGACTGAGTTCGAGGGCAACATGCATTGTGTCGGACCCAAAAACCAAACTGTCTGCCCGAGGCCGTTAGGCCGAAGGCAGACAGTTTGGTTTGAGGGTCTGACAAAACGCATTTTGCCCGAGAACTCTGTCAATAAATGTTTTGTTATACCTTTCATTTTATTATATATTTTTTGACATACATGTATTTTGTACTATATTCCGTAATGTAACATTAGATCTGTCATTGTTTAAAACCAAAGAATGAAAATGAGATTAAGCTCCGCCCATTCTGTGACGTAAGCAGTCCAACATCTCTCTGAGCAGTCCAACATCGAATTTTTTTATGCCCGCTCAGCAAAACATTAAAAATGTTAGACTTTTTTCTGTATAGATTTGTATAGGAACAATTCTTTAAAGGCATAACAATATCTTATAACTAAGTTTGATGGTTTATCTTATCTGATAAGTTGTACTTCTAAAAAAATCAATTTCTTTTGATAGGTGTGACTGTCATCTGAGTACTGAAATTTGATGCCAAGCATGATCATGATTTGCCAGAAGAGCCTCTTTTGGGAGATGACAAAGAATAAACAGCAGAATGAAATTGAAACAATCAACTGAATCAAGTCTCAGTTTAAGAAGATGATTTTAAATATATCATATTTAAATTTTGATTTGAGAAACAGACATAAATCCAAAAATATGATTATATCAATTGCTTTCAGTTTAAGATAAATAGATTTTGTTGCAAAATCTAATATGTTTAATTTGGAATAAATGTTCTTTTAAATATTTGTCAGATCTTGCATGTTTACATCTGTATTGAGGTCTTCCGCTTCCAAGGGAAGACATACCAATTCTAATGGTAAAGATGATAGAGGTCTGTCTTCAGTGGCAATATATAAGATCTAATATGTGTATTTTTATACCCCACGCAACTAGTTGCGGGAGGTATAATGTTTTTGACTGGTCCGTCAGTCAGTCAGTCAGTCAGTCAGTCCGTCAGTCAGTCCGTCAGTCAGTCCTCTTTGTCAGCGCAACTCCTCATAAACCGCTGCACAGAATTTCGTCAAACTTTGCAGGTATTTAGGACACAATGTGTAGATGTGCATATTACCAGGAAATTCCGATTCCATTATTTTTTCCGGGAATTTCCGCACTTTTTAACTTAGGCATTTGGCCATACCTTGAATATAGAGATGAACAGTTTGTCAGCGCAACTCCTCATAAACCGCTGCACAGAATTTCGTCAAACTTTGCAGGTATTAAGAACACAATGTGAAGATATGCATATTACCAGGAAATTCCGATTCCGTTATTTTTTCCGGGAATTTCCACACTTTTAACTTAGGCATTTGGCCATACCTTGAATATAGAGATGAACAGTTTGTCAGCGCAACTCCTCATAAACCGCTGCACAGAATTTCGTCAAACTTTGCAGGTATTTAGGACACAATGTGTAGATGTGCATATTACCAGGAAATTCCGATTCCTTTATTTTTCCGGGAATTTCCGCACTTTTAACTTAGGCATTTGGCCATACCTTGAATATAGAGATGAACAGTTTGTCAGCGCAACTCCTAATACACCGCTGCACAGAATTTCAGCAAACTTTGCAGATATTTAGGACACAATGTGTAGATGTGCATATTACCAGGAAATTCCGATTCCTTTATTTTTTCGGGAATTTCCGCGCTTTTAACTTAGGCATTTGACCATACCTTGAATACAGAGATGAACAGTTTGTCAGCACAACTCCTCATAAACCGCTGCACAGAATTTTGTCAAACTTTGCAGGTATTTAGGACACAATGTGTAGATGTGCATATTACCAGGAAATTCCGATTCCATTATTTTTTCCGGGAATTTCTGCACTTTTAACTTAGGCATTTGGCCATACCTTGAATATAGAGATGAACAATTTGTCAGCGCAACTCCTCATAAACGGCTGCACAGAATTTCGTCAAACTTTGCAGATATTTAGGACACAATGTGTAGATGTGCATATTACCAGGAAATTCCGATTCTTTTATTTTTCCGGGAATTTACGCACCTTTAACTTAGGCATTTGGCCATACCTTGAATATAGAGATGAACAGTTTGTCAGCGCAACTCCTCATAAACGGCTGCACAGAATTTCGTTAAAACTTTGCAGATATTTAGGACACAATGTGTAGATGTGCATATTACCAGGAAATTCCGATTCCTTTATTTTTCCGGGAATTTCCACACTTTTCAACTTAGACTTTTTTGCCATATTTTGAATATAGAGATGAACAGTTTGTTAGCACCACTCCTCTTAAACTGTTGTACATAGTTTCGTCAACCTATGCTGATATTTAGGACATATTCCATTATTTTATCCCAAAGAGTTTTGCCTATTATTCAAGAAAATTTCTCACCCCTCTCCCCCCACTTCAAATTAATGTGTGGATTTGTATATTTTCAAGAAATTTTGATTCCATAATTTATCTAGAAACTTCATTCCACATTTAAATGTCCTCATATGCAAGACATTTTGATGTGAAGATTTTTTGCAATTATTGCTCTTTTTGATCTATACTATGTACATGTATTTAAAGTGCACTGTGCCTTTCATTAAATGTGTTTCACCGTCAAGTTATGGGGGAGCGTGGGGTATGTGAGCTAGCTCACTTTTTCTTTCATTACAGTATAATTGAAGGAACATTGCTATCTTGGCATATTAACAAATGTGCATGATTCAGAAGAGAGGACATGTTATTTCAAACACAAGATCAAAGAGATGTCCAGTCACATTTCAAAGTCAACAAAGCACAAAATCTGTTTACAGTTTAGCTCATATGAGCTAAAGCTGTAGTAAAATTTTGAAAATTCACCAATTATCATCTTTATCTTAAATTCTTCAGAATTTCATCTCCTTCTCAGAACAACTGGACAAAGTTAAGTTAAACTTGGCACAGAGCATTCTTTAGTGTAGATTTCTGTGATTTAGTGATTTTCATAGGGTCACATTGACCAGCATTTTTCTCAAAATTGCTTTTAGACAGAAACATAATATTTTCAGTGATGATAGAGCTACATGTGCTGATGTGACACATACCTCTCTCTTTCTCCGGAAGTGCAGCACGTCGGCGCTCGCTATGGCTTGTAAAAAATCCCATCGGGGATTTAGAAAATGTTCACACCTTTTCTGCAATATCTTTTTACATGTTAATATTTTGTAAAGACATTAAGAACAAAAGTTGTGAAGAATATCACGATCTTTCAAAGGATATCAACTATAAAGGGCTTGCCCCTATAACTAAGGACTTAGAGGGACCAAAATTTTTTCCTTAATATCTGAAAAAAAAATTTGAATTTGTAATACGTCAAAGAAGCAAAGTTGTCCAAAATGTCAAGCTTAATCTATTGAATTCGTCAAAATGTGTCTGGTGACGTCGCTTCCGGTCAAACTGAAAGTCATCAGAAAGTGCATATTTTTGTCATTCTTGACTAAGGTTTTGGGTAACATATATCACTGAAGGCATTAAACTTAATTTTTTGTCAATTCACATCACTTTTGATCAAACCAGAAGTAGCCAAAAAAGCTTATTTTGAAGGTTTTGACTCAAAATTAAAATTATAAAGTCACTGGAGACCACTTAGCTCATTTGCTTTCATTTGTTGACGTCACTTCCGGTCAAAACA